CCCACCCCCGGCCCCTTCCACTGCTCCCTCTCCCCACATTAATCCTGCTCACTGCTGACCCAAGCAAAACGGAGTTTGCCTTCTCCCCTCCCGGCAGTTTTCTGTTGGCAAAGCAAAAAGGACTGCAGTGTACACTTGCCCCAACCTCGCCTGGGGGACCGCTCTGAAAATGAAGTGTCTCTGCATGGGCTACAGGACCTGGGCAGGGTGTGCACATGGCCCCTATGTGTCATCAGCCCCTGTGCTCTCCCACATTCATTGTGGGCCCTGGTTCTGTGTGGGCGCCAAGGAAAAGGGAGGCAGGGCCATACTACAGCCTCAGCAGCTCTTGGACACCAGCCCTACCTCCCAGGCAGCACAACACTTGCGCCACATCATGAACTGTCCGCAGGCATCCATGCCATTCATGGACATGCTGGCCGGTCCCTGCTTGTGGTCATGGCCTGTCTGTGATAGTGACAGTGACGTAGCTGGGACAGAAAGGGGTTTAAAACTCATGACACAGGGTGTGGCCAGGTCAGATCTGTCTGAGGAGGCGAAACTTACCTGTTCCTGCAGGCTGAGGAGGAGTCAGCCAGATTAGCACAGGAACAAGGGAGTAGGACTCATGTCGGGAGAGAATGAGCTCCACAGACACATTAGATTGGAATGGATGGGGTCAAGCAGGCGCCCACATGTGCTGCCCATAGGGACACCCACGGGTCAGCCCCCTTAGGGTCTGCTGCCTGCTGTGGAAGCCTAGGTCCCAGCGGCTCTCATGGACAAAGCTGATGGAACGGGCTCTCCCATTGCTGGTCCTGCCTTCATCCAGTCTGGACAGTCCTGTGCACACCTGGCCCCAGGGCCTCCTGCTTTACTCCTTAACCTGTGCAATGTGACCCTGAGCTGCCACCTGCTGTGGTGGGCCATACCCTAGAAGACACCAGAGTCCTGGCCCCCAGGGGCCACAGCAATGTCCTCTAGGGGGCACTGGCCATGACTGACCACTGGGGTGAAGCTCTAGCCTGGAGTCATGCCCTTAACCTAGTCCCTGAGGCCAGTGACTCCACCCACTGCTGATTCAGTTGTCTGTGTGGACTTGGAGACTCCTGGGAGACTGGACAGAACAATCCATTGCTATGCACCCAGGTAGCAGCTGCTGTAGTCCCTTCCTGAGCCCAGGAGCTCTCTGGCAGGTCCCTCACAGTGGCCAGAGTAGTGTAGGCTGAGTCCTACTTTCCTTTCTGGGAAAGGGGCTCATTGCTGCCCCAGGAGCAGTCCCAAGTGGAAGGTGTAGAGTAGGCTCCCCTTGCTGTCCAGCCCTGCTTGGCCTGGAACTCTTAACCCCAGGGACCACCCCCTACCAGCTCGAGTACCCTTGTGCACCAGGCTTTCTTGCTTTACCCTTGGGAAGCTCTGCAGTGATCTCCCTACACTACTTCACAGGCACGTAACTGAGGCAGTGATGGAAGGCTGGTCCCAGCTGTGCCTCACTCGAGCTGTGAGGAGCACCCCAGCGCCCCACCCCGTGGCAGAGGGACAGGACAGGACAGCATGGAGGCAGCTCCAAAGAAGAGCCCTGAACAGGGGGGACATTTGGACAGGGGATACAATGGCTTGAGAGGTGGAGGGCATGACCAGCAGGGGACACAAAGCAAAGACCCAGGCTTGGTTGGAGGTCAGGAGAGACTCTTTGTGGGGCAGGGAAGAGATACAGCCCAAACCTTCTTCAATAAGGAGAAGCATGCTCTACAAGGAAAAGCTCCTTCCCCGCCAGCTTATGGTGGCCCAGAGCCCACCAGTGCAGGAGGTAAGTGGCAGCCCCCTTCCCTACCTCAGGTCTGGACAGGCTACAGGAGACAGGAGACAGGAGTTGCTGCGCCCTCCGGGACAGGCCTGCCACCCTGTCATTCCCAATTGGTGTGTAATGGCCTCCTTGATGCACAGTTTTATTAATCAAATTAATAAGTGCTGAGGAGACCTGCAAGACCTTGACCTGTTCTGCTGAGATGTGGATTCTCCCAGGAGGGTAGGGGCACAGGATGAGGAATGTACCTGGACCCCCAGTCCAGACTCAGGCAGGCTGGGAAGCCCTTCCTTCCCACTTCGACAAACTGCATGCTGTGCTTATGTCTCCCTGACCCCCATCCCCTAAACACACACCCCACAGCCCCTGGACTCAATGCTAATGCTGAAGCATGAGGAGGTAACAGGCACAGAGCCCAGAGTGTAGGGCAGGCTGCTCCCAACTGGGGACCATCAGAAAGGAAAAGACAAGGGGGCAGGGGTCTCAGAGGGCAGGGGGCTGCCTTATTTTGTTGGGTGTCCTGCCCATGTCTCCTCAGATCCGCACCTGTCTGAAGAACCGCCTGAGTGGTCTGCTGAGTGGGCAGCGGCTGCCCCCTGGTGGTCGGTGGAACTCTCTCTGGTCTTGTCCCCATCCAGGACCTGCCTGGTCCAGTACCTGCTTGGTCTCCCTCCGTGGCTCCCCGCCAGTCCTTCTCATTCCCTTCCTTTGGAGCTTGGTCCTGAGCCTACCCTTGTGGGCAATATTCCTGCCCATGGCCTTTGAGGGCCCATCCATCCAGTATATGCAGGCCTAGAGGCAGTCTTCACTTGACAGCTCAGGATACTGAGAGTTCACAGCCTGTGGAAGCCAGCCAGAGGCAGTAGGGGTGGGCATGGGTGTGACGGGTGTGGTGCAGCCTGAGAGGGCTAGGGGCCTGTGATGGGACCCTGCTCAGAGGTAGGTGCTGTGGGCACCCCTGGTTGCTGCATGGGATGGGGAGAAGGGGGGGCGGTAGGAACACAGTCCTGG